AGCCTTCAACTTTGAGCCTCCCTCCCTCCCTCCGTCCCTCCCTCCCCTCATCTCAGATTCTTGAGCATTATACCATGATAGAACATTATACAACATCCGGAGATACGGGTCGAACAAGTCGAAGACCATGCGCATAGCGATGCGGTTGAGCGATTTAGAGCTCGAGGGAGAAAAAATAGAATAAGAAACCTTATTTAGAGTTTACCTGCTAGTTACATTAAAAGGTTATAGTTAAGAAATAATCTAGAGTCTACTCTAAAAAAGCGTCTTTCTTAACAGAGTCATCAACCGTAGCTACTACTTAGGACGCAGGATAGCTCGCGCGCTATTCATTTGGTTCCTAGGTTTTTGGGGAAACCTTAAGATGCACAGGGTCACTGTTGAGCACTTGGCACACGATTCAAAACACCCCCACTTGCTTGTTCCGGTTGCCAGCGGTAGGCATCTACATCTTCTACATGATATAGAATATATAAGGTTTGCCACCAGCTTTTCCTGCCTGGATTTGTCTTGAGCGGCTTCGCCAGCCGTCTCCACAAGTAGCAGTGCAGGTTGTCCATTCCTGTATGGATGACTGCGTCGGTGGAACATATCATGTTGCCAGAAGGACTCCCGCACTAGGTCTAAGATATCTATACTATACAAAAATCGACGAAAGAAAACCCAATGTGAAGGTAGCTGCACTGCGCGGTCCTCCCACTCGCTGAATATACACGGCTGTGGCAGGGTCCTTGGCTTCAGTATCGTCAGCCTTCAAAAACTGTTCGACTTCTTGGGCTGCGCATGTAGCGTAGTATGTAGTATGTACCATGCCATCTTTGTACACAAACTTACCACTTGGTTTTTTGTCGCCCACTTTCATGAAGTTTCATGTGGGCCTTCCATGATTCCTGTGCACGCTGTACGTTGTCACATCATCCAGGCATCTGGGAGCATCCCACTGTGTCTTCCAAAATGCCCAAACCTCAGAGTCAACAAACAAAGATCCCACTGGAGCAGCAACCGGCGGGATGCAGAATGCTGTGGAATTGAATTATATATCTATATTGAGGATACTCTATTGAAATATTACATGATATCTGTGGATAATGTTCAATAAACAAGCAGCATCACAAAAACTCAACAGCCAAAGAGCATGGTTTTCCACCATTACGCGGATGTCTAATGATCTCGCGGCTGCGATACCTCTGCCCATTGGCCTGCTGAAAGAGTTCAGGATATCCTTCTATTCTGAACATTCAACTCAAGCGAATTCAAGCCGGTTCTCAATTCGATTGTGCTGATGTAATGATTGTAACGGGTGGCTACTTGCAGGTCTATGACTCTGAAGGGCCCTAGGTCTGCCTGGCCCGGATCGCTGCAACCGCTCCAAGAGCTCCATTCAGAGATCTGGGCACAGGTCAAACAAATGACAACAAGAAAATTCGTGTCATTGTATGAGGTGTTCTCTTTCTTGTTTGCCAGCCTTGCCTTTGTGCCTTTATCCTTCAAAGACCTTCTTGCTTTGTTTTGCGTGTTGTTTCTTTTTCAGACTATTCTCGGCACAGAGAGAGCAATCACATGAATGATCATCAAGTCACAACACTCTACCCCACCCCTTGTGTTTGTGCAACCAAGTCAAGGTGCAGCAAACCACTAGTTTGCATGCCATGTGCTTGGCTTGCCCATATGTTTCTGATAGCGTGAGGCAAGCAGTTAAAAGGGTGGTCACGCGCCAAAAAAGCTCTTTAAGTGGCATATGGAGGAAGCACCAACTGTTCCGCAGTTCCCGTCCACGCCTCGCAGTCAAGAGGGCTAAGACAATCTGCAGCACATCTCTTGGTAGCTTCCAAAGGCCCAATGCACGGTTGGCCACACTCGTTGTTCACGTTCTGACAGGGCCGATCTCATGGTCTCACTTTGCAATGTTCCTAGTAGCTTCTTGTTACTACTAGTAAGGCACTTGCTTCCAGCGCCTTTCGAATTCGTGAGAGGCATGTGATTAATCTGTCTACTGGGACGTTGTGGGGCGGAGGCCAGTTCAAACACGCGTGCAGTTCCGGAAGCCAGTTTCCGGACTTCACATGAGTCGAATGCGGTGATCGTAAGAACTCCACCTGCTGTATAGCTCCGTCCTATCCAAAAAATTGTGGAACAAATACAACATGGTAGGCGCCAAAATGCACAAATGCACAGAGAGAGAGAGAGAGAGAATACATGCAAACATCTCGGCAATGATGACACCTCTTTACAGCAAACTCGCTGTCCTTGTCCCATCCCGTCCGTGACCGTCCTCTCGTCTTGAAACCCGAAGGTCACTACATTCTCGGAACCAGTGCCCTTGATCTTTCCGCGCAAAGTGACTACACAACGAAAAAATCTGCACCTGCACAACGCGACTTCGCGAGCAAAGCCCTTCGCAAGTTGGCTGCTGCCACTCTGACCACGGGCTAAATGTGCAGGGTATAGGAATGCAATCCCTTAGCCCATTTGTTGTAAAGTGATCTCGGTTGAAATCGTGCAAAGAATTGAAAGCAAACAGCACAAAGCAAAGCAATACATCATTGGATATCCTTGGCATATACAGGCTAGGCTATACAGGTACGTAGTTGATGTCCTGGTGGGACCGATATGGCATGTCAATTGCATGACGGCCAGGCCAGGTTTGTCTATGCGGACCAGTGTCTGGCAAGAATGTGTGAAGGGGCACTCGGTTTGGTTCACTTGCGCCCCAGCACACTTTGCAGTTCCATTCACTTCGAAGAAGGCACCATCGACCGGCAGATTCCGGTGAAGTCCTTGGGATCAAGTCTTCTCACAGTGCCCCTAAAAGTTTACGTTTTGTTCCTCGGAAGGGGCATGACATGGCACGTTAATTATCAGATGTCATTAGGTATTCCGGTTCACTAGCAGCTTGACCATCATTGGTCTTGGGCCATTGCTTCATGCTCCAACAGCAAGAGCCGCGGAAAGGAGAATGCAACCGTAAGCAGCAAGCGCTTTACTGCAGTAGATGGCTGGCACTCTGGGAGTCCACACCCAGAGTTCGAGTGATCATTGCTGGCCGTGTGCCGCAGCTTCCATCGCAGTTTGGGAAAGACCACTCGTTCCATGCACAGAAGAGCCTGCACCAGCACAAGGTCTTCGAAACATCCAGCTGGACCGACCAATACACACACGGAGGCGCAGCACTGCGAACCATGCTTCATTCATCTTCATACTGATTTTGGCATATTTTGTCACGTCAGTTCCGGGGCCTCTCAGAGCACGCTGGAGACATAGGACAATCCGAGACCTGCGCTACTCAGTGCAAATCGATGCCAGGGGCCAGGATATGCACAGGCTAGTTGCTTGACTGCGGCATTCATGTCTATCCAGTGAGCAGCAAAGTTGTCTCCACGACATCTACTACTCCAAGAACAATGCAGAACCACTCGCTAGGCAAGGACAACACCATTCAAATTCTCCGGGCCCCCCATGCGGTCCTCTTTCGCGCTTAGCAGATCGCAGCGTTTACCACAAAAATTCCTCGGCTCTGGTGACCATGGTGTTTAGCATCCGCCGACGGACCGACACCTTTTCAAACAAGGTGACCTCAACACCTCGGCCGGCCTGACCTGAAATAACATGAAGCAATAAGTCTTCTACATAAAATGACTGCAATTATTCTTCCAATTTATTGAAGAAGCTTGAAGAAATACCAACACACAAAAAAGGCCGCCAGAACTTGACACCACCAATCACTGAACCTTCGCTTACCTCGAAAGACTGACCCAAACACGCGCTTCCCCAAAGAACTGTTGGGGAAACAAAGCCAAACATCATCACAGCGAAAAATCCTAGAAGAGCTATGATCAAACCTAGAAATTGCCGATATCTTGGGTTGTCTATTCCTGTCCATCTCGCTGCTAAAGCAAAAATGGTCAGCAGTGCCCAACCTCCCAATATCGTCCTTCAAGCTTGGCTGCGGTGTGACTTCGATCGTCCTGTGCCTGTACCTTTGTCCGCCACAGGTGGGGCAACTGCCCCAAACGCTCCAAGCACCCCAGACGCAGTCCTGGAAGCAGCGAAAATACAGAGGTGCACTCATTATGCACTCTAAAGCACAACCCAGCAATACCCAAAAGAATGATTTATTGAATGGGCCAATGACTGACCAATGGCCGACCAATGGATACACTGATACAAACCGCGGGAAACTGTTTCCACCAGCTTCTTGCTCCTAGTAGCGATGCCAGGAGCCCTAGTAGTTTCTTGTCCCTAGTAGCCATTTGCTCCTAGTAGTATGGCCAGGAGCCTCTACTAGCTTCTTGTTACTAGTAGCGATGCCCTTTGCTCCTAGTAGCGTTCTTGTTACTAGTAGCAAGGCCAGGAGCCCCTAGTAGCTTCTTAATACGTGCTGAATAATCTCTGAATAGTTCACAAATGTTCACAAAAGTTTAAGGACCGAATAACCAGCGCCAAATGTTCACAACAAATCAGCTTCACAAAGCTGCGCTGCGTGTGAAGCTGAAAATTGTAGAGATATGTCAAGTTGTCACTCCTGGCATCTGACCGCTGCACAATGCATCGTATGGCCTCAGTCAGCATGACCAATCAGTGAAGGAACTTTATCAACAGATCAAGTGGCCTAAAAGTATCTAAAAGTCTACCCTTCTAACCCATCAAATAAAAAATTAGCTTTCAGCACGTTGTGTTTCAAAAAGCATTTCACCAAGTCCAAGCTGCAGCCCTCTGTCTGGAGCAAGGCCTCTACGCAAGGCTTGCCACCTCCCATGGCGGCTTGCGCCACGGTACGCACACGGTTTCGCTGGCCACCGCCACAGGTCACAGTGCACTGAGACCACTCCTGGCGACACTTGGAGGAGGTTGGAAGACTTCCTCCCACTAGCACCGTACCCAATGCACAAAGAATCCAAAATTGAACTCTTCTGCAAAGTTAGATCCGTGGCCCGCGGCGCCTCCCATTCGTTGAGCAAGCAGTCCACCTGTTTTATGTTACTGCCTCAGTGACTGTCACAACAACCCTTGTCACGTCTATAGAAGCATTGGCCAGCTGAGCATGTCCACTGCTAAGCCGCTAAGATGCCAAGCGACACAAGTGAACCGCTTCTTTCGGTTAAAAATGCAGGCCACTCAGATCAGAAGACAGTGGTTGCAAAATCTCTGGACCAAACACGTGTCCCTGAACACCCTTCAGTGTCCTTCATCTACCACATCATATCGACCGTATCGAGCCACAGTCAGCTGGCCGTAGCTCATCTGGACCTGGATTGCAGGGCTCAATCTCCTTGAGCGTCTCATTGAAGCAAGGGTCACCTCAAAGCACTGAACGTGGCTCAGCCTTGTGGAGTCCGTATCCAGGCTCTCGGGTGAATGTAAAACTGAGGCTGGGGCCATTTCCGGATGGAAATTGGGAAATGTAGCGTGAGCGAGTTCGCATGCCGAAGCAGTGGCAGCCTGAGTGAACCAGTGACATGAAACTCCCTTGATCCGCAAGCTCACTTTGTAGTTGGAGGCCTCGACCATCGCTCTTAGAAACTAGGTTCATTCTTCATCAGACTAGGAGCTACAAGAAGACCATGGCGTCCACTCTGCCGTCTGACAATCCGAGTCTGGCGTGCAAGGGGGCAACTCTTCGCACCTTTCGATCTCTTCTCTGAAACCAACCTGAGCAATTTAAACATAAGCAGAAGCAGTTCAAGAATATGTTGAAACCTGAAACGTCACTTCTTGAACTTCTTGAACCACCTGTCGCATACAACCTGGAACAACAAAGGTGTGGACTGTGGCATTGCCACAGTAATTGGCGTGACGTGCAATGTTCCTGCCAGGCACAATGGGCAGGTTTGGAAACCTCAAAAGCTGTCACTTGCCACAGGAATGCATCAGCTCGACTCAAGGCCGCGCCTTCTCCTAAAACGGTATGCATCATTGCAAGTGGCACTGCACGGAGACCATTCGCGCCATTCCCCCCACTCACCATTCTGGCACTCTCCACCACAGGGTGCTTCTCCTTGGCAAGTACATGCGAGAGGAGTCTGCTGCACATGCACAGCTTTCGATCTCTCTTCAAGTTTCATCAAGTTGTTCGCACCTTGATTAATTCCAACCCAAAGACCACAAGGGGCTACTTCCACCTTGTCCTTTGGTTCGCAGTTCTGCCCGCCCATTGGAGAAACTGCTATGCTCCTTGTCCTGCTGCACTCGCGAACATCGGTGTCTATACACCACCGCATCGCAGACCGCAAGTTCACATATCTTCGTGAGAGGGTCCTGGTTTTGGTACCACCTCCGCATGAGGTGCTACAGGTGGACCACCTTTCCCAATCGCTCCACCTGCAATCCACTGCCTGCAGGGATGCACCCTCCGAACAAAACGATTGATGAATGGCACCATGCACCCTGCCTGGCAATCTTCCTTGTTGCAAACCTTTACCTCTTGCAAAGCTCCTGTACCTCATGATGGGAAGAACACTTGAGAGGCGGGAACGAAAGCGATGACAACGACGAATGTGAGAACACCTGAACACCTTAAACATCCCAAAATCCCCTGGGGATGATCTTCGTGATGTCGTGTCCCTGTGGGGGGTGGGGGCCAAATCAATATCGCTTCAATACGTTAAGTGGGGGGGGTCCTATTGATTCACTTCACACAAAGTGGGGGTGGGTGGGGCCGTTTGTAGTGGACTTAAAATTCATCTCGCTCATTCGAACATGTGTTTCCCCGGAGTGAACTGGAGCAAGGCTTGAGGCCTCTGCTTGCTTCGTACACTCCAATTGACCCAGCCGGACCGGCAACCAGCGACACATGAACCAGGTGGCAAGGTTCGCCACCATCAAGGGCAATTCGCTTCACTTTGCGGTATCTCTTTCGGGAACCATCGCCTCGTTTGACAGGACTGCCTTGAACAAGAATTCAAAGCGTGAGTCTCTCAAATTTGCCGTTGGCCAAAGGGTCGATTCGATGCTGGGGCTGCACACCACAAGTGGTTGTGCAATCTGACCAACTTGCCTCAGAGACCCACAACTCGCATTGATAGTGTGCATGAGGCAATTCAATGCTTTCGGTCTCATCTCTTCGAATTGATGGCTCTCAATTACCACCAACAATGACAGGAGAGTTGAACAACCCGCACAATGGAAAAGTGGGTTGTCTAGCTCTCTCGCTCGTCCTGCGACACTTCCCATCTATCTCTCTTTGCTCAAAGCAGCCCAGTCGTCCAGCTCGCAGTCTTGAGGACCTGTATGGCTGCATGGAGCTGTTCCTCAAATGGCAAGCAGGACAAAAGGTGAAGGTGCAAGCAAACGAAATATGAGCAGCTTTGTTTAAGCACAACTTGGCACCTTTCAAATCTAGCTACAGCATGCTACAGCTAAGCCGTGGGCCACAGCCTTGAGTCTCCCGGAGCTGTACTTTTGGACAAGTTCCACCTCTCCTCGGTGTGGGATCTGCGTTGGCTCAAGTTTGCTTACTCTAAGGCTTGCAAGTGGCTTGCGGTGCCTCTCGCTGATCTCCAAAAAGTGAAACAGTCATTGTACTGCATGCGGCAAGTCGTCCATAAGGTGTCGAAACTCAAAGAGTCCAAAGGAACGAAGACTGTCCAAACTTGAGGCCCAGTCTTTGGCGGCTTCAGGACGTTGCGGTCTCGAAACTGCTGGCCACCATTGCAACTTGTAGTGCCTAGAAAACGGTAGCACACGACTGCAATGACAAATATAGTGGATCACACATAGATGGCATTTGACTCACGCTGGATAAGATAGCATAACAGCCATTTTTTGACATTTTTTGCAGATGGCAGTTGATTGAACGGGAGGGCTAGTGTGCCATCTTAAAAGCAAAAAAAGACCTGACAAAACCTGAGGAAGAGAAAAGCAGGAAGGCGGGGAAGGGACCTTTGGATGCTTATGGGAGATGGGAAGGGTAAGAGGCGG